TTATTGATTGGTTGATTGAAATATTTAGGTTAGGAGTCAGTCTGTGAAGGGACTTGCATTTTGAATGTGAATTTGGATTATACCCTGGGTGGCAGGTATTATAATGGTAAGGGTGTGAATTTCAAAATCAGACTGAATTGTGTTCCAGTTTGGACTCTACTACTTACTTGTTTTCAAAGACTAAAAGATCATACAAATAGAGCATTTAAAACAGTGCCTGGTGTATCTTAGTATCCAATAAATGTTGGATGCTTTTGTAGTTAACCATGAGAGAGCATGCATTTTAAAAGAGGGAACATATTAGCTTTCATTTTTACTTATCAAATTGATTTTTGTAAAAATAATTGTGGCCAGATATAACACCAAAACTTTAATAATAGTAGTACTATCTAAAATTAATGTATGCTGAGTGTTTTACTTGCATAGACCCACTTAATTTTCACAGCACTATAGTAAGATAAATATTACATTGTTTTCATTTTACAGAAAATGGAGATTAGAGTTAAACTGATTACACCCTGGCTCGTGCCTGAACAAGATTTTAAAGATATTTTTAATTTCAGAATTTTCATGAAATTTCTCTAATACTTTAGTTATTTGATATTTTTGAATCTCATTTTTTTCACCTATTCCATGGAAAAGAAGAAAAGTTTCATATATGTTCTTGGGAAAACTTAATGCATAACATATATAAAGGAACTTAATATGTATAGTGTCTAATACATAGTAGTTAATAATGGTAATCATTATTACCATTATTGGCCTTAGGCTTTTAGATCTCTAAATATAAATTAGAATATTAATTTGAAGTTGACTTTGAAGAGGAGGTCATTGAACACTACTGCAGAATTGCTAATCTATTGCTAAGCAACTATCTGGCCTCTACTGTAATAGAAAGGCAGAATCTTTTTTCTTTGGACCCTGATGTACCTATCTGAAGACTCAAATTAGATTTGTTGTTATTTGCTTTCAGTTACTCTCCAGTTTTTTTTTTTCAGTTTTTATTTTTTTAGTAGTACATGTTTGCAGAGGATAATTATTACTGCTCTAAAATACAGTTTATGATATGAGATTAAAAGTTAATTGGAGGCATATTTTGTCCTGTGGGAGAAGAGTTTCATATTAATTTCAGTTATTAGTTTTCCTAACTTTGTTTCCTAATACACAACAGATTTTCAAGGGCCTTAATCATATCTTATTCATTTATCTTCAGAGTCTTTTTTTTTTTTGGCTTATAGTAGGTGCTTATTAAATAAATTTTATGTGAAGTAAGAAATAATGAATGAAAGCAAAAAGTTTTAGCAGACATCTTTTAGTGATACCTTTAAAGTCTGAGATCCTATTAATTTAACAATTATTATTATAACATTGCTGTCATGAGAGTCTCTAAAGTTTCAATAAACATTTTTACCCACTAAAATTAGATGTAGCACAAACTTGGTGAAAATCAGTTACTCTACTGATTGAAATTAACATTTCTCATTCCTGATATCATGGAATAGTAACGATAAACATTTTCTTTTTGTTCATCATACAAATAACTCCTTACCACTCTCCTTTTTTTCTAGCCCTGGCAGAGGACTACTGAATAAAGAAGCCCTTTTCCCAAGAGAGACTAGGAAGTGCAGAATGTATAAGATTTTTCCTCATGGAGCATAACATGAGCACATCAGAAAACAGACTCCAACAGGTACTCCCATGGCATGCCCCTGCTGAAGTGGAAGGTAGTAATATTCATTATTGAGGTTATCCTCATTCCAGAGGGTGGAACTCCTTGGTATGAATTCACACAGTAACAGAGTTTAAAGAATTTCCAGTTCTTTCATCACATCCCTGTTCAGGCTGTCTTTCAATTTTCCTGCAATCAATACGATTCGGCTCTGAAAATCACTTAGATTGTCCACTTTGAACATACCAAAAGACAACATATTATGATAATTCATACAGGAAAATAAAAGCTTTTTACTATAATGGGAAAAATGCAACATACTATTTTACAAAGCCAGAGTATTGTAAGTACATACAAAATTCTCATTCCTTTCTCAATGAGGGGGTGCAACAAGGATGGTAGAAGTGAGGGAGCATCTGCTAAAGCCCTGACAGTGTTATAGATGGATTTCTCTTCTAAGACTTCTGGCTTTAGGAGAATCATCCCATATAATTATGGAGACCTGTTCATTCTATAGGTACATTATAGGAAACTTAGGTACACGAGATGGTGAACATTTCTTGGTTTTCTGGGATTAGTTGAGCATCCCTGGGACTGGATGTTCAGTAAAGGTCACAGAAACAGCCCAGATTTCTGCAGAGTAAATGTGTGGCTTGACTAGGGGAGCAGCTAGGGGAGATGTCAGGGTGGATTACAAAGAAAGCTTTACTAGTTGATACTAAAAGTACCAGCACACACCTCATGTACACTGTTATCTTTTCCCAAGCACTCCATTTCTAGAGTAAGAAAGTTGAATTAACTATTCCAGTCCTTTACTTAGAAACTGTTTTTATGTAAATTATCTCTTTGACATATTTTCTCTCAATACTAATTTTAACCTTATTACTTCCAGATAAATGTTATTGTGTGTGTATATTTATGTGATCAGAAAAGAAGCTGGAGAATATAACAGATACAAAGGCTTTGTGATTGTTGCCTCCCTCCTTTGTATGTATGTAGAACTTTTCTGTTCCCTGAAAGAAAGCTTTTTTAGAGTACTGAAGGACTCAACCTAACTACCCCCATCAGATTTTTAGTGCTAAAGAAATGAGAAGGAAAATACTGGAAAGGAGCGTTTGTTCCTAGTTAACTCTGCCTATCTATGGGTCTGAGGTCATTACTTCCACAAAATATCTTTTCCCCTCTTCCCCAGGAGACAGCATTGTCGTAAGTCTTGGAACTACCTTTTCTATATTCAAACAAGTAAGGAAACAAAAGTTAAATTCAATTTTGGTGCTATAGAAAAACTTGGACTACTTCTGGTGAAGCTACATTGAGTTAGCTTTATCTTTTTATCTGGGTTGGATCCAAGGAAACATAGTCTGTATGATTTGGTGTCAGTTTCCATCCTGTGGTCCACCCTGTCTGCACTGCCCACTCCCATTCTCAGTTTAGGAAGCCTTGAGCAAATTTAATGTCTGACTAATCAGATCTGAGAGTTCTAAGCATTGATTGAACATTCCTGTGATTGATTGAACACTGCATGACAGAGTTGAGATGTAATGCTTTTACTGTAAATAGATCCATGTCATCTAGATAGGTGGATTATTTCAAAACACCAGTTTGCAGACTCACTAAATCAGAAAATTATTATCCAACAGATTTCTAGGCTCTGTTAGTCATGATTTTCCCAGGAAATCTGATAGGCAGTCACACATTCTAGCCTTTTGTATTTCAAATCAGAAGTTACTTGGGACAGATCCCTTGACCCTTCATACAGTGCAGTCGTTTTTGCTTTATCCTTGCTGTAATGATGTCTTCCTGTTTGCAAATACAAGAATTAGCCTAAGTGAAGAGAAACCAGGAGCTGTAATAGCAGTCTGTTGAGTTACTCCAACAGAACAATCCAGTGAGGCCTACCTTCCACAAACACTAAGATCCAAAGATAGCTGTACAAAGAGATTGTGAGCAGAAGGCCAATACTGTGCACACACACATATACATAAATATGTATATGTGTGATGTGTGTATGTATCTACATGTGTGTACACACTCTTTTCGCCTTGTCTCTGGGAGCCATGGACAGAATTGGCCAACCTTTTGGCCAGAACTAGTATTCATCATTGCTTAGGCTGTGCACTGCATAATTCTGGGAACCATTTCACAGACTACCATGTGAATTGCCTCCAACAGTTGTGCCATGCAATGGTCCTTGAAAGAAGTGATTCATTATTTTGACAAAAAGAAAGAGCCCACCACTGAGAAAGCAAGCACAATGTTTTGAGATGAAATTTTAACAGAATTAAATGATATCATCTTGTTATGCAGCTGGATCTCAAGTTCTACTCTCAGCACATGCAAACACATATGGACATACTCTACTTTCTGGTCTTCTCTCTCTCTCTAATTCAGGATGATGTGCAACAGTTTTCCTTTACACTTCTGTACCACAGATGGATTGGGAAATGTCACAAAAAATTAGAAGTGGAGAGGTAGTTTATGGTGAGTGATTTCTCAATTTAAGGCTTCTCTGGCATTCTGTAACTGTTTAATAACTATCTTGATTACCTTTATCTCTAGAGCCCTTTTGTTGAAACCCAGTGCCATGCAAATAAGCACGTTCATTTCATGCAGCACAGCTCAATTAATGCTCATAGTTCTAAATACCCCAATTTACTGAGAACAGCTCAGTTGGAAGTGCCTAGTACAAAGGAACATGCATAGCGTAGCAACAGGGCGTGTTCATTAGCAACACAAGGAAGTAAAGGAGCTGCAAAGGTACATTAGCTAGAGGAGGATGAGCTTTCCTGATTTCAGTTCAAGAAAAGTCTCTTGCCTATACAGTCCACTGGTTTGCTCTTGGCTGTGAGATGTTGTTACATTCAAAGTAAATCATATTAATTTCCAAACTTGTCTGGCATCAGAGGCTGCAGAGTTCCCTCAATTGTGATCTTTCCCTCAAAACCAGTCCTAAGCATTTGCATTTATTTTATTAAGTGATTGAATAGCCCTGAAATGTGAATTTCCTCCAATCTCTTTCACTTTGCAAACTCCAAAAGCATTAGACCAGTAAGTTAAAACTCAAAGAGGACTGACTTAGCTAAGGCTTCAGACATGCAAAGCGCACAACCCTGAGGGACAGCAGCATCTGGGACAGGAGGCTCCCCTTACTTGACATGAGGATGGTATGAGTTTTACAAATCAAGCACACACACAAAAACAGCTGTGGCCCAGATTGGATACATGGTGTGGGACTTAAAATCGAGAAAGGACCCAGACCAGGGAGCCACCTGTTCCTCTAGCTTGCATACATTTATGTCACACCACCTCAAGTCACTCACAATTTGCTTACCTGCTCATTGTTGCTCTCCCACCATTCCCCATACTCCCTTTGGGGGTGAAACACTCTATTTCCGACTTGTGCTGGGCCAGTCTCCTGTCTTTGTACCTGGTGAGCATGAACAAGGACAGGAGCAAACAGAAAGGCGTAATTGTGTGCTTTAACTGCCAGGCTGAGGAGGAGCCATGACCCAGAGAGGGTCACCTCATGCCAAAACAGGCATTTTTGCTTCTCAATGCATTGGTTGACCTTTGATACTGATTCCATATTTGTGATGGTATTTGGAAAAAATTGAGCATGATTTTAATACTTCTGGATGAAACCAAATGTAATCCATCCCTTTTTTCATTCCTGATTAATATGTGAATTCATCATGTCTAATACTCAATTATAAAAGAAAGAATGCAAGTCCTAGCATGTAAAAAAAAGATGTATATTAATCCTTAATTATAACCAATTTAGTGCTTACAAGGTGTCAGACACTGTTCTAGAACTTTACTTAAATTTAATACTGTCAACAGACCTGCAGTAGAGACTTTGCTATTATTATTATTTCCTTGTAACTGATGAAGTAAAGGTTAAGTAAAGTGATTAAAGGCAAATAAAAGTGGTTGGGCTGGGCTTTGAACATAAAGTCAAAATTTATAATCCACACTTTACTCTTTATAATATGTTGCCTTTCATTATCTGGGTTTTTATTGATTTTTAATTTTTTTTGGTTTTGTTTTGTTTTTGGTATGGAGGATCGAACTCAGGACTTTGCACTTTCAAAGCAGGCACAGTGCCAGTGAGCTAAATTCCTGGCCATTACCTGGGTTTTTAAAAACTAAATCCTATCATAATTAAACTTCACTGAGTGTTACTTGTCTGAATATTCTATTAGACGCTTAAAATACCAAAAGAGAGAAGATATGTTACTTGCGTATGAAAAGTTCTTATAGCTATTAAATTAAAACTGACAGTTATTATTGGGTTGCTTGCATTTTGGAATGTGGTCCACTAGCTTTTGTATTAGAATTAGCAGTTTGGCTTTCCCATAGGGTACTAAGTATTTAATTTAAAATAAATAAGCCAAGCACAGTGGCACATTCTTATAATCCTGAGATGTTGAGGCCCAAAGATCACAAATTTGGGCTTAGCCTAGGCAACTTAGTGACACCTGTCTCAATCAATCAATCAATCAATCAATAAATAGTACTGGCTTTGTAGCTCAGAGTGAAGGTGCTAGGTTAAAGTCCCAGTACTTCAAAAGAAAGTGGGGGGGAAGGAAGGATAGAAGGAAATAAAAAAAAGTAAAGAGAAAGAAAAGAAGAAAGAGGAAGGGAGTAAGGAAGGGAAGGAAAGATAGATTGGGTAATTCCCAATATTATTCTCCTACAAGATATATCAAGATGAGTCCTTGTAGAGGTACAAGATCCCAACAATGAATGTAACTGTTCTGTATCCCTAAAATGTACCAATAAACTCAATTAAAGCTGGAAAAAAACAAGATGAGTCCTTATGTATCAGTGACACTATTTTTTTAGATTATATTCTTTTGTAGACATAATCACTTTTAATTGTCAATTTAAATCTGTTGAGTAGCTAGAAAAACACTATTCTTCCCATTTGCTAAATTAAGAGACTAAGACTGACTTTAAAGTCATAAGCCTATTAGTAGAAAAGAACTTTTCATAGAACTTTCAGGGATCCATGTCTGAGGTTTCATTACCTTTTCCCTTGTAAAACTGGAGCTTGATATGATTCCAGTTCATCTATGTTCCTGCTATTCAACAGGCAATGATCAGATGAGTTACTGCCATAAAACTTTGTAATTCCAATGTAGTCACTCATTTTTACTTTATTTTTCCTGATGTTTCAAAAGTAAAATAAAACACAGTTTAATGTGAGTAAGAAGAAAAAGTCCAAAGTGGAAGGGGAAGTATTGGTGGGGAGAGGATAAGAAGAAATATGAGAAAAGAAAGAAAAGAAGGAAAAAATGAAAAAAGGTTTTTGTAAATAGGAAGAGGTGGAGGGGTAGAAGGGAGGGAAGGGAAATGGGGAAAAAAGAAGAAATAATATATATCATGTACAGGTGCAAATTCCCAATGATGAATGTGATCATAATGTATACTTCAAATGTGCCAAAAAAAAAATAAAATGTACCAACAAATAATAATAAAAAGGTAAATATAGGCCCTGAGGCAGAAGACTTATTTTTGTCCTTTTCTAAAATATTAATAATATTTGAATGAAAATGAATTATTGCATCAAGCACAAATGAATGTAATGGTTCAACATACAGTAGAAGATAACTGAGAATCTGATGTATTCTAGACAGTGGGCTTTGTACTTGGCTGTAGAGATAAATCTGCCTGTCCTGCCCCATAGAGTTCCACAAATAGTGGGTGAAGGAAAGGATAAGTAGAATGCACCAAATTAACCTCAGACCTAGAGCATGAAGAAAAGAGGAAAAAACCTGAAGACTTTGTTAAAAATACTAAAGCATCAGACCAAGCCAAATTAAAAAGCCTTCATTTCACCAAGTAAAATACCTTAGAAATGAATGCTTTGTGAAGTACCAATGTGAAGGACTGTACATATGTCAATACAAATATTTGTGCTTATTCATGAGTTGTATTGCACAAAATACTGCTCTATGGCCTAAATAAAAATAGTATTAATTTAATAACAAATTACTAATGGTCAATCAATTTCTTTAAAATGATGCTTAATGCATTTTTGTGTTTTATATTAGTCTAATTAACAAGTGATTCAATTAAACCTTTCATAAATTTGTTAAAAATACAGTTTTATGTTCATAAGCTCCCCCCCACCAGGTTACCTCCATATATGAAAAAGACCATAAACACCCTATTTTATCAAGACTTAATCTCTTTTGGTAAGAGCTCTCACCAAAACTCACAAAATAAACAGAAACAGAAACCCCAGAACAAATGTGTTAGACACTGAGTTCAGGGTTCTTTGGTCTGATCATTTTCTTACAAACTGTAGACTTTTAGATTTGTGCTCAATTCAGCTTTGACAACTAAAGTTTATAGGTCAGAACCTTGCCATGAAAAGGTCTCACAAAAGTTTTAAGAGATTTCATAATGACTTGTTCTGGAACAAGTTTTGGTTGTATTCCCTGAAAAAAAATTTTTTGGGGGGGGGGGTGTTGTTTTTTTTACTTTGTTCAGGAAGCTCTAGTTTCTTTTCACTCACATGTATAAGAGTCCAGACTTAACCTGGTGAGACTAGACAGTACATGTTAATTTTTTCATTGTTTGAGTTCAAAGGTTTCATTTCTTCATTTTGTCTTCCCTACCAGTACCCACTGAGTGTTGGATTACTGAGAGTTTTATGTGGTTTTTGTAATCCAGAATAAATAAATGACTCTAGAATGACATATAAGACTGGAATAAAATGGAGAGATTCATGGAATGATTGTGTTTATTGGATGAAATACCAGGTATTGGCAGAATGATGCCTGAAGCTGGAAGGAAAGGAGAGAGTAGAAGTTTGATATTGGAGATGAATATTCCCTTGAAGGAGATTTGAGGCAATAAGTTTGAATAAATTGACAAAAGTCAGATGATAATATGCATTATAACTTGTTCATTAGAACTGGGGAGAAAGAAGCTATGGTTCATCCTTTATATGGGCATATAAAGTTTCTCAGCATAGCAGAACTTGGGCTGACAGAAATTCTACTTTCAAGTGTAATATTCATAAAGCTGAAAGATGGAGGAAAAACTAGAGGTAATCTCAAAATGTCAGTTTTAGTATGAGTATGTACAAGCAGGTGGCCACTCTTTTAGTGTCCTCTGAAATATATGATGTACAAGGACAATAACCTCACCTGAAAGGGTACAGGGGCATTTGTCACTGCATCCTTTACTCATTATTCTGGTTCAAGCCACCTTTATCTCTTAAATTATAAAAAAAGTTCTTAAATAGGTTCTGTTTTTGTTTGTATTAACTTCTGCCCTCCTGACCCAACCCATTCCAAACTCCACACAGCATGCAAAATAATCTTGTTAAAACACAATCCTTTGCGTATCAACCCCTTTCTACTTAAAACTCTCAGTTATCTATCCATTTACTTGCTGAGTAAATTCTAAGATTTTACTATACCAAAAACAGTGACTCTTCCTCCTTTCTCACTTTTTCTTCTCTCCCCCTTCTCCTGTGTAGTTTCTTCCATTTCCTGTTACTGCTCTGATCCCATGACTGCTTTTTCTTCCTTGCCCACCCTGAACATGTTGAAGAACACCTGGCGTCCTACCACTGTGGTCTTTGCTTTAGGCAGATATTAGCAGAGCTTCCATCTTTCAAAGTTTTTCTCAGATATCTTTCTCTATGCTTTCTGCCATGACCAACATAAATCAAAAAGGCAATCTTCATCCCCTCTTCCTGTTTTAATTTCCTGCCTTTTCAGAAATTTTTATCCAACACACTTTTATCTTTTACTTATTTATTTTATGTACTGTCTGCATTTCCCAATTAAATCTTCTATGAAATGTAAGTTTGGTGAAGCTATAAATTTAGAACTGTTTTACTCAGTACTATCTTCCCAGTGCCTATGACATGGGCAAGCTTACTTACTACAGCTGATAATATTTGTTGAATGAAGGTATGCATGGATGAATGAATACAAGAAGAATCAGGTTATGGAGAAATTTCATTTGGAAGGAAGGAATATTAGCAAGACCTTTGAATAAAGTCATAGATAATGGGAGTAGAACGGGTGAAATTTGAGATTTGTGAGAGTGAAAAAGTAAAAAAAAAAACAGTTTGGTATGGTCTGGAGTTTTGCATATCCCCCCCAATTTATAAGTTGAAGTCCTAATCATTACAGTAATGATATTAGGAGGTGGGGCCTTTGAGAGGTGATTAGGCTATGATGGCAGTACTTTCATCAATGGGATTTATCCCTTAAAAGCAAACAAACAAACACCTCAGGGAGTCTCCTCGCTCCTTCCACCAGGTAAAGACATAAGCAAAAAAGCGCCAGAACCTTTAATTGGACCTTAACCAGAAGGTCAAGTGCCAATGCTTTGATTGTGAATTTCTCACCCCCCAGTACTGTGAAAAATAACTGTCATTCATAAGCCACCCAGTTTAAA